TGCTAAACGCCTTACAGAGCATGGGACAGCTTCCCACAACAAAGAACTACCCAGCCCAAAATATGAATAGAGCCATTGTTGAGAAATCCTGGTCTAACCACTATAAACAGTGCTTATCCTGTTAAGCTAAACCTATACAAATGTAGGCGCTTGGTTCCAGTAATAGGATCTAGTAAAAACATGTTAATGTAAGCCAAAAGAATATGCTTCCTCCCCAAAGTGAAAAGAAGGGAAGGTAGAACATGAAGAGAATCATTTAGTGTAGTAATCCTAAACCAGTTTTTCTTTCACAATACATATTTTCACAGACTCAGCAATTCCACAGGTAAACTCCAAATCTGATCACTCATTCCCACAACCACTGATTGAAAAATGCTGTTTTAGCAGATTTCTTAGGGGAGACTATGCCTGAATTTTGCCCTTCCTTCTATTGGCCTCTCTAACCAATACTTGTGTGCTCACAGCTGCACAGGGTCCACAGCTTACCTTAATCATGGCAACAAACGGCATTACCTTCTTCATATATTTCTTCAACTCTGGCAAATTGCCTAGCTCACTAGCAATGACTTTGTTATCAGGCAATTTTCCACTGTTGGCCTAAAAAAAGGAGAGAGAAGAATGTGGAGAAAAATACTTTAAACATAATGTAGGGTAGCAGATGTGCCTGTAATAAACTGGTCAGACATGAAGCGGTGGCCTCTACCCGTCTATTGGAGAAGAGTGTGCGGCCTCCAGCACCATAGCGAAGGGAGAAGTAAATAAGGAGGACACAGAGAAGCCTCCTACTCCCCCTAAATTCAAAAGATACATGTATTTTAGGGTAAAGGAGGAAAGCAGGTGCATCATGCTGAATATTTAATTTTTCCTTACATTAATGACAGCTCTAGGATTATAACATTATATCTTATCTGGCGATAAAAATGTTCTTCTAAAGATCCTGTCTTTAAACTTCTAAAAGCATTTCATTAGCCACATCCAAATGAAAACTATGTAACTATCATACAAGCTGTATATATAATGGCTGCTTTTAAACACTCTTCCTTATAAATTGTTACCACAAATATGAAAAAACAATCCCTAGCTATCGATCTGTTAAAATGATATACTATCTAACTACTCAAAAATAAATGCCTATATCATAATCACTAATATGTACACATTTCCAAATGTGCCACCTGAATTTAAATTCATTCCTGCAAACAACAATAGAAGAAAAATAAAGTAAGTGGCCTCTTCAGAGTTTTGAGTGACCTATTTTCCCCTCATTGTAAAAGGACTGCACCAAAGCCAAGGGTTGGGAATGAATCTAGAAGAAAAGTAACATAGAGTAAGATCTCCAATAATCTATCTTCTTTCAATTCTAACCTTTACTCAAGTACATGGGAAAAAATATTTTCTCCACTTGTCAATATGTTGCTTTGAAATGCATATGAAAGATGAAAGGAGAGGGCAGAAAACACTCCTTCTCTTTATGTCACCAAAAAGGTGCCATATTCAATATCAGAACATTCTTTTCCATTATAAACTGACTTTCTTTTGGTTCTTTTGGATGAAAACAAATGAAAATTTTAAAGCTGGTCATTCCAAATAATGCCAAAGGATGTTGTTTTCAAACTATATAATATATAGTCAAAGAATACTAGGTAAAGATTAACTTCTAAAAGGATAGTAGTGATGAATTTTTTAATACCTGGGACATCATGTACTATATTTGGTTCTTCCGCTACTTCCTTGAAAATGGAAGCTACTGAGGCACAATTTCACTTTTCTACTTACCAAAGTAATTTTCACTCTTTTACTTACCAGAAATCAAAATCTACAAGCAGATTTTAAAGACTACATTCTATTTCTCTTACAATAATCAAAGAAATAGTTCTCCGTAAAAACAGGTTCACATGGAATACAAAAACACTTGCTCTTCTCTTTCCACCAAATCTTACACACATTAAAGGTTTTCTGAGTATTCTTAACTATGAAAAGCATTAAGGCAAAATTTCAATAAAGGTTTAGAAAATCATAGCCTTAATGGTTTTTGTCCACCAATAGCTGTTCTTTATAATCTGAGCAAAAATTCTACCACATATACTTTGTTTCCTAATTTTGAATGTGAAAGGAAGAAGGTAGGGAGATTTTTTTTCTTTAGGAAAACTTAGAAGTTTAAATATTGGGCTTCCTTTAAATACAACTATCATATTTAAAAACTATTTACCTGACACTCAAAAAGAACATCAAACTCTCCATTTCTATGGGTAATTATCAAATTGGACATTTTCTTTTAAATTACTCAAGAGCCAAGCTTCAAATCTTTTCAAACATAATAAAGTTAAAGCTTCATGAATCCTAGTGTTTAAGTCACAACAAATCCTAAAGGCAAATTTAGTCCTTCTGCTTCATAATTTTAACCACATGTATGAAAAAGCCCAAACCTTTTAGTTACATACTACTAGATCCAGTATTTTTGTATGAAAGTTCCAGAAATGATGATAAGCAGCTTTCCCTCAGCATCCATTTAAGGGTCACCAAGGATAACAAAGGGTACGAGATGCCTAAAGGTAATTAAACAAAGCTGCCTGTCTTCCATCCCCCAGACATTGCCAACATCTCAAAAACAAAAACAGCACAGGCAGTACATGACACTGCTGGGGGGAAATCTAGTGAGAGCATCACCTCAAAGTGATTACGTAGAACTGACAGGGTGATGTGTTGCCAAGATGGATAGTTCTTTGCCACGTAGATGGTGCAATGTGAAGGCTTCTGAGGTGGCTGCTTGTCAGTCTTCTACAAGGCAGGAGAAAAGGAAAAAAACATTTAATCACTTTCATCTAACTCAAAAATGAAAGAACCCTCTCTCAGTATGTACCACTATTGCCTTTAAATTTAAAAATATACCTATTACAGAACTGCAATAGCAATGAAGAGAACCCTATATATTTTAATGAAAGTTGTCTTAATTTTTATTACTATCAAATGTTATTTGGCCAACAACTTTTAAGGAATGATTTTTTAAAAAATGACTTCATACAGTTGTTTTAAGATGTTGTATTAGTTTCTGGTGTACAGCATGGATGGTCTTAGAGGGCATTATGCTAAATGAAATAAGTCAGACAGAGAAAGACAAATACTGTAAGACATCACTTACATGTGAAATCTTAAAAATTACAACAAACTAGTGAATATAA